CTCAAAACACGGATCTGTGGTCCTGTTGTGCCTTAATTCCACCACACTGGTGGTGAAACCCAGGATGCGGCAAGACAGGCCAACAACAGAGCCAGGGAAGGGAGGAGCTGTCGCAGATGATTGCTGACACGGCGGCTATCCAGTGGGAGCAGGCGGTGGAGGTGCGTCGCCAGCAGGAAGAGCTGCGGGAACAGACCGAGCGCCACCTGAAAAGATGCCCCTGGGCACCACCCTGCGCGGAGTGGTGGAGCACCTGCTCCAGCCAGAGACTATGGAGGTCCAGCCGGCAGTGAGCAGGTGCTCACGGCTGTGCCTGCACGGTCATGCCAGTTCGCCAGGTGGCCGACCGGCGGGCCAGCGTTGCCATCACCGCTGGAGACTTGGGCGGCCTCAGCAAAAGACACTGCCCTGTCGTCGGGTTGGGGGGGGGGGGGAGGAAGAGTAGGTAGGTTTGGCTGGATGGCTCCCTGGCCTCAGTCGAGCGATGGGGTGTGTGGTGGGGCGTGGTCTGTGGTGCCTTGTGGACGCACCAGTACGACACCTGCAGATCACGCCCGCGGTGTTAAATCACGGGGAAGCAGGATTGAGAGGGTTCTTGTGGTGGTGGGACAAATGTATAAATAAACATGGCTTAAAGCACGGATCTGTGGTCCCATCGTGCCTTAATTCCACCACATACTCGTTCTCCAGCTCAATGGATTCCTTCATCTCTGGTGTCAATCTGGTTCTGAGGAAACCACTATGACTGGTCCCAATAATTTTATGGGCAAAACTCTGTACAAATATCTTGGCAGTGACGATGAATGGAACATGGTCCACTCAGACTCTGTATCCCCAGCCTCCCTCTGGATGTTGTTTAAGTTCTGTCAGAGGTAAAAAATTCAAGATCTTGAAGACTAGGGCCTTAGCTACATGCTTGCAACACACATTCAATATATATTTGGGCAGGCCAGGTCCATCAAGCATCCTCACTTTACACCTCATCTGCCCACTTAAGTGCCGAATTCACCCAGTAGGACAATGGAGTACCAAGATGGAGCACCTTATCCACCACTCTAAGAAAAATTGTTATTAGGTGCAAACAGCAGTCAGGACCCACTGAACAGAGTAGAAAATAGTATACCCACACCTGCATGCTGCCTCTCACCAAGGGCAACTCCATAGTGAAAGAGTCTAGACCAGGGATGGGCAACTCCAGGCCTCGAGGGCCGGTGTCCCTGCAGGTTGTAGATGTGTCCTTGAACCAACACAGCTGATTTAAATGGCTAAATTAGGTCCTCAACATGTCCTGAAGTTCTCCAGAGGCCTGGTAATGAACTAATCATGTGATTCAGGTGTGATGACCCAAGGTGAGATCTAAAACCTGCATGACACCGGCCCTCGGGGCCTGGAATTGGCCACCCCTGGTCTACACCCTTTTCAGGATGCTAAAGACGGTCTCATTTCCGACTTTTCTGGTGGTTAAGAAGTTCAGGCTCCTTTCCTACCAGAGAAGCCACATCCTAAATATCTACAGCCAGACTTTTCAAGTGGCGATCAGACCACCGGGGCCCTCACGCCTGACAGCCACCAAATCCACAGGACACCGAACTGTTACGAGAGACTGACAATCAGTTTGATCACTGTCAATCCACAATATCACAGCATCAAGGAGGAAGGAAATCTTACCCACCACGTTTACCTTAATAATAGTGCTGCAGGCTGTTAAGTCGAAGGCCACCACGGCACCCAGGGAAATACCAAGAATTCCAACTCTGTCTGGTATCACTTGAGGATGGTTCCTAATAATGTTAAATGCTGTCTAATAGGAGAGTGATACTGGAAATTAATGAGATATTAAAACCTTGTTTTTAATATGTATAAATTTACATTGTTTTAAAAAGTGTTACATGTCTAAAATGATAACTCAAATTTCGTTCATATTCTTCATATTGAGTTAATTGAAAGAGGATCCTTTATTTTTTGCCTCATTTTATTCTATTTACTTATCTTTTCTCCTTGTTACTATGTGAAGCGGTATATTGCTGATTGTAAATTTGTTGTTTGGTTTGCGTTTGGACCGGAGATAAATGTTAGTTTGTTCCTTGATTTTTGGTGCCCACTTGTAATATAAGTTGGATTGCAGATAGGGGGCAGGGTTTAAAAAGAATATTTTCTTCTTCCTGCTCCTTTTCAAGCATAGTTGCAGTGCTATACCAAGAGAAAGTGTGGTTGGTTTGTCTGAAAGAACTATCTGTGGAAACTGTTGAATCAAGTGTGAAATAAATAAATGAAATGTGTTAGATATTATGGTATTGAAGAAAAATTAGATTGTGCTATCCACTCACAGTGAAGATT